GTCGCCGAGGTGCTGGCGCGGACAAAGTGGGTCAATGGCTCGCGCGGTGCGTTTGAGCTGCTCTATCAGCAAGCCGAGGGCACGGTTGTGGCCATCATGAATCCCAAGGTGCTCCGGCCGTTTGCGGTAGGCGCCAAGGGGGCCAAGGCGACCAAGATGCTGCGCATCTCGCCGCGCTCCGCCGAGGACTGCCTGGTGATCGGGCAAGCTGCCGACTACCGCCGCTGCTCGGCCATGCGCGCCAACGGTCAGCGCTGCGCGAGCTTTGTCGATACCAAGGCGCGCAAGCAGACGCGCGCCACCGTGTGCGACTACCACCTCAGCCGCCACATGGACGAGATCGCGCGCGGGCGGCCCGAATTCGCCGCCAACGCCACCACGCGCTTCGGTGGGGCGAGCAGCAATGCGGCGGATGGGAACACCGTTGGGGTGACCAGCACGTTTGCCGCGTCGGGCAACAGTGGATACTTGCAAGAGATGTATGCTCGCAAGCTCAACTCGTCGTTCGGCAACATTGGCGATGGCATGTCGGGTAACGGTGGGCAAGTTTTCGTGTCCGAGTCGGCGGGTGAGGCTTCGGTGCGCGCATCGGATCCGGCCAGTTGCAAGTACGCCGTGGCGGAGCGATACGGTCGAGGCGTCACCGAGAAGCAGTCTCGCCTCAAAAAGCAGATCGAGGAACAGCAGCTGATGCGCAACATTGAGGCGCGCTTCGCGCCCCGTCCTGCTCCGAGGGCGCACAAGCAAGCCGAATTCAAGCTGCGCGATGAAGCGGTTCTACCAGTGCTGCCGAACGGCAGTGCGGACATGATCAATGCGGCCTACTCGACGCTCGATGAGCGCAAGCGTACAGCGGCGCTGCAGCGGCAAGCGGCCGATGCGAAGCGTCGCAAGTACACCGGCACCACCACCGCGGTGGAGACCGAGGTGCACGAACCGAGACTGCGCTTTGCCCAGCCGACGCAAAGTACGGGTGCATTCCCCATTGGTCCGAGTCGAGACCGCTCGCAGGGTGGCAACTCGCGCTCCGCGCTACTGTCGCTGCTCAACAACCGCACACCCGCAGCGGCCGAACCGAGCCTGAAGCTCAACCGCGCCCATCGACCCAAGCTGCGCCGTCCCGTGGCGGAGAGCAATGCAAAGTCCGACCTCACCGTCGTAGGTGGAGAGCTGGTGCATCTGCAGGATCTGGATGATTGGGCAAACGATCTCGACGACCTGCCAGCCCAGTCCCAGCCTGTACCAGATGCGGATGACGATTCGGACCTCGAGATCGTTTGACGCGAATCCAATTCGAGCATTTGGGTCCTGTCTGTGTTCGTGCAGTAAAGTTCGAAGCGTGCGAGAGCGGTTGAAATAAGCTTGTGTGCATTGGAGCGAGAAGGTGAAGCAAGCAGAGTGCGTAGCGGATCTGAAACCGATTTCTCGCAGGGCCGCCGTGTCACCACGGCGACTCGAGACAGCCAACCGCAAATGGCAACGCGCAGATGAGAGCTCGCAAAACAAGGTGCGTTGCGAGACGGCTCAGTTGCGAGGGACAGTTGACTTCAGCATCCTGCAAAGTCCAGCCGCAAGTGATGCTCCCTTCCGTCAAGGCCAGCAAGTAACCTTTCCCAAAGTTTGAACCTGGCGTGCGGCTGTCAATCTGCTAATCCGCACTCACACGACCAACTCTTAAGCAATGAAGTAAAGCGCTCTCGGACCTTCTCTCACACAGGTGCTCGCATTGATCTTCGTGTGCTTACAACCGAGCGCTGTGACAGATCGCTGCGAAGATGTTCGAAACGTTCGTTCGTCAAGTCCTTGTTGGATTCGTGAAGCATCGTAGTGTGTCCGTGTTCGCACGGTTTGCCGACAGACGTGCGTTACTCGTGCGCGGAAGATCAGCATGGTTCTTACGCCCTACCTCCGCCTACCCCTCCTCCTTTTGTCGGTGCTCGCAAGATGCGGACACGGCTCACAATCGTACGTCCTCGACGCTGCCTGACGTTCCCTTCTCTGCCTGAGGTCTTCCCCGCTGCCTAATGGACGCATGACGCCTTCACCTTTTGCCACCCAGACGAACGTCGTGTTGGGATCGTCCCGTTGCCGAGCATCTTACTCGACCGCGTCAGTGTGGACGCTCGGCGTTCAGATCAGTGACAGCGCATGAGCCGCCGCAACGAACGCACCTGTCGTATAGCGTGCAGGTCAAATGCAAACCCTCCGCCGCTTTTCCGCACCTTGCACACCTTCGAAGAGCTCACAACAGCTTCGTCCGCGTTCACACGCCAGCAAAGACGAGTGATAAGCCTCGACACACGACCTGATCCACAATATGCCACAGCCTCTAAACCAAGCTCTGTGCGAAATGAAGCTTCCCCCTCTTCCCTTGCGTGCTCACAACGACGAAGGCTTCCGCGTCCGCTCGCATAGCAACGCATCGGCTGCAAGCTGAGGGCGTAGAGAAGGTCTGACATTGGATCACCCTGAGGCAAGCCGCAGTCGAGTCGGACAGGATCGATCATGTGGCCTTCCACGGATTGCCGAAGGGTCGGGTGCTTGAAGAACTCCCTGATATAGTTGATGAAACGTGGTCCGAACCCATACGCCACCAGGCCGTCGAGCAGCCATTCGCTGCGCACTCGATCGTAGGCTCTATTATGATCCAGCTTGAGCATGTAGATCCGGCAGTCGCACTTGCCAGCTTGGATGGCGTGCTGAACCGTGTACATTGTGATCAGATTTGCTGCGGTCCCTCGCCCAGCGATAGAGCACGACTGGATAGGATGCACGAGCTCCACTGCAGCCTGTTGCAAACAATCGCGAATGGCTCCATTCAGCAGTCGATAGCAGACCGACGGGATCGTGAGAGATGTGTATTTTGCGAGCTGAGACGCATCTCCTTTTTTTCGGCAGCAACACCCCCCCCCCCCCCCCCCCCCCCCC